GATGCATGTCAAACCTGCGTTTCAACATGATATTTACACTTCACTTCCAAGTGGTTGATAGGCTTGAAATATCAAGTGACCCTACGGCCCTGATATGAGCGGCCAACGAGCATTGCATACGCATTGTAAGCATAGAGTTTGGAGCGATTTTCCTCCTTCAACAATGCCTCCGAAATTACCCACTTTCCAATGACAAAATGTTTCTGAGTAGTTGCCAAGACGATAACAAAGTGTGTCACGACGTGCACGCATGACTGCTTCTAAGACTAGCCGAAACAGGGGTCCAAGGCAGGATGAATGGATGGGGTTGTCTTAGTAAAGGATTGCAAACACATTGTAGGAACGCCAGTGGGTGAGACAACAGCGTTTGTCTGTTCCAAGTACTCACCTGAATTACCAGATTAAAGTGCGTTTGTCGCCACGAAGTATCAGCCTTGCTTTTTTCTAGTAGGACGATGTGACATGTATAAATACGGTAGTCATTGTAGCCCCTTTAGGTGCTTCTTTTTTAAGTAATGCCGATTTCATGAGGATAACATTCCAGTCCATGCACGTTATAGGGAGGTTCCATCTGCATTGACTCTGCTTCTAATGGTGCTATTCGGAGAGCCAGTTTCAAAGCGTCTTATCACGTATGGGCGACCATACGGAAGTAAAGCTTAATTATCCTATGAAAACATAGGTTCCTATAACCTTTTAATAACCCCATACATGGAGACGCTGAAGCGATAACTGATTAACATAGACGCCTATGGGTGTGGAGACAAAGGAACACTCACTAACATCGTGTCAACGTCACACTTGGAATCCTCTTAGTTTGTGTTTACTCATCAACTGTGATAGAAGTAAGCACACATAGAACTTTCGTTGTTCAGCTTCTGGTTGGTCTGCCAATTTCAATGGGAACCATGTCCCCCATGATCGTCGCATTAACAATCGCACAAAATTATCTTACCGCCTAGTAGCCATTGTTGATTCAGGTTTGGGTGTGCAGTGTCCAAGCCACGGCGCATGCCTGACCAACCGCAAATGCAGGCCTAGACCTAGAGAGACTGCGGAATAGCAGTTAGAAGATTGACCGTCTACGCCACTATGGTTAGGCCGATGAATAAGCCACCACCAGGTAGCGGCTAGCGATCACTAAGTATAGACCGCTTCACATGCTGGTTAATATGTCTGTCCGCACGGGTTACGGGGTAAGCTTCGGATCATGTGGTAGCTAGGATCTCCTCCTTAGACAGGTACCTCAAGTTGCCCATTGGACGGTTTCAGTTTGGGGATAAATCAGTGAGGTTTATTTCAGATGGGCATCAAGACAGCACACAGGATGGTGCTCTTCCACTTTCATTGGATTGCCTGTAGCTTATGCTCGCGGTTTCCAACCGGTGTGTCATTAGCTAACGTCCTATGACCAATGAGAGTGTCAACGACGCCAAAGCAGCGTTGTTAGCCTAGCTAACTTTAAAGCACTGCACGCGATTTCGAAAATGTGTCACGCTCAAAGCTTGGTACAATGCGCTAACATGTCTGTAAAATGGTATAGTGTTTGCTGATTGTGTACCCAACATTTAATCCCGCTGGTGTAATACAATCTAGCTTTGGTAAAATTAGTTATCGGTTGTTTATCGGACATTCATACCAACAAAAAGGTTTACTTGGGTAGCTATGGCTGACTATACAATAAAGGTGTTACCGACCAGAATTTGGTTTACTGACCTATACACCAGAGCATATGTTTTTCTGTTCCCTTCTTGCAAACAAATTGCACTCAGCTAGCTGTGTAAAGCCGCTGTATGATAAAACGGTAGTTTACTGTGCTGACGATTATGTCACAGTGTTCGCTATCATATGCCACAAGGTTCACTGGGAACTTAAGGGAAACATATGCATACTATGCGTATTACAGGCAATAAAACGAATTACCCCGTATAATCCTGGTGATCCATTACTAGGAGGCTATCGACTTGACTCCGCTGCACTTGTGCTAACATTTATGGATACGTTTCATATCTCTCTGATTTTGCAGAATTTTTGCATAGCATCATATATCCTAATAATTCCAACTGTAATTCTATCCTGATTTTTAGGGATTGGAAATATCAAACTCATATTAATAACGGACGACAGAAGATATGTTGTAGTTAGTATGCCAGCACGCGTCAGCAAATGCCGGTGTGAAATTTATTCGGGTTAGTTTGTTTTAGAGTCGTCTTACTACGTGCACCTGAAGTCCCATGCGGAATATGTATCCAAACCGGACAGCGCTACCAGCAGCCCCGTCTCACTTTGCTCAAGATTTTATGGCGACAGACGACTAAGAAGCCTGTAAACCTGTCTTATGACCCATACAAACTTGAAGTGAAGCCTTCGAAATGTCCGGCGAACGGTATCTGACCCTACGAAGTCACCTCATACTAAAGGATTCGAACATCAACACTTACACTACGTTGCCGCCACCTCCTAAAACTTAGCCAAAGAAAGACCTGAATCTTGCATTGATCGGCAGTGGAACCTGTTTCAACCTACGCCATTTTCTGTCTCACATAATCTATGGTTAATAGCAAGTCAGAGGTACACTAACCCACTTGCCTTACGTATGATAACACTAGTTCATTAGGACTGATATAATGCGAGCGACGACTTACTCATTAGCCTTGTCACAAAATTGTACTAGGCAGAATCTCATTCGTGTGCATATGGAACTCACGGCTAGTTTCTAGAAACGAGATCCATTTCTTTGGCAATCTGTGTCGAAGTTTACAAACCTCACACCAATCAATCCACGGGAATTAGCAAAGGCGTGAACATTTTTGGTAACAGACCACTGTTCATTTGCATTCAACACCCCACTACACAAAAACAAATAAATGTCTGTATCCCAAGTCTTTCGTTTAAAACTGGAGCTTTGATCAATTCCGTTGGTATCTGGTTAGTTAAACTGTTCAGCGAAATGTTTAACAGTGTTAGTAATACTTCCACTAATAGCAGAGTCCTCACCTGATACACTGAGACCATTTAAGATGCACATAAATCAGCTCACTGATGAGCCCTAGCTGTTAATACACCTGTCGCGCTAGTCTAGGGTATTCATCAGTCAGATGAGATGCTTCACGCATCGAGGATGGACACGTTGCCATTTCTTTCATATGACTACCCGTGGGAGAGACAACAGAGCACATTCATACTATTGTATTACCAGCCGCATGCGATTGCGTGCTTGTACTTGAAAAGCTAGTCGAGATGTCGTCTGTGTTTTAAAAAACCAGACTGCGCCTGTCGCTTTTTAATTTCATCAGATGGATGAGTTTGTTGTGTATGCGTATTTACGTTGTGCGTTCCTCGGGTTGTGCGTATTTACATTCCAATGTGTAGCGACAGCCAAGCCAACTTATGGCATATATATAGAATGATCATCATGTGAATCATATTCTTTTATAAACTGATACAGTTTATAAATAGGGTAGGTGGATGTGCGCAACAGCGTCAGCGATAGAAACTATCTGCAGATTTATTTCGCATATCCACCGCCTATGATCAGACAACGTGACCATGCATCGCGCTATATTCTTCAGCAGCGGTTATCAATCCTGCGAGATCATTTAAGCATAAGCCACAAAATCAAAATATCGTCCCATCATACCGTATATAGCGTCAAATCGGCCCCCTGCTGATTCCTCGTTATGCTTAAAGGGTTTAAGAACACTGGTAGCTCGGGTTGATGATTCAGTGTACCATTCGTTCGCTGAGCACGTAAATTTGTTTGCAAATGTTTCCTCACTTGGCGAGGTGGTGTTGTCAGTGCGCGGAGATGCAGAGTATCATCTCGCTGATTGAATAGTCTATATGTGATCGTCGATCTGTGATCAAGAATCCAATCAGCAAGAGGACACTCTGCACCTCAGCGCACTGACGATGTCATCTGGTATGGTGATGAAACGTTTGCAAACAAATTTCCAAGCCCGATGAACGAACGAGCCCTTGAATAATCCTGATGCTGTTTTATACGAAAAGCTGAATACCCGTTTACCTAATATTTGGTAGGTTGAAGTGGTGAACTTGTAGTTGTTTTGGATCCATATGCAATTGCACACGGGTTCCAAAATGCCACAATAGCTAACTTATTCATTCCCATTCGAACGTAAACTGCACAGGATGACAGTTGATAAGTAGTCAAGATCGATTGAAAACACCACTTGAACGCAAAGTTACTACTGTAGGCTAGCAAAAACTTCGGTATTTGTCGCAGCGCACCCGTTTCAGTTATTTGATCTGATCAGTTAAAATTATCGCAAGAAATCTGGTGTTTGACTCTAGATGTGGACAGCCAACACCTACTCCGACTGTGACAGTCATCGACAGATATTGAAGGGTAAAACTTCCGTAGCTCATAATCTATATAGTGGCAAAGCTACTAAATCTTCTGAAGAATAAACAACATTTATACATGCACACCAACTAACTCTGGTTATAAGATACATACGGTCTGTGATGGATAGATATGAGCTAATTGCTGTCTTGCACAATAACCAAGTTTCAGCTGTTCAGAACCATGTTATTAATCCTAGCACTGTAGATAATAAACATTTACTTACACAATTAGTCTCCCTGGGTGAATGACATAGGATGCTACAGAGGCGCACACCATACACTAGGACACACTGCTTTTCTGATAAAAAAATGCAAAGTAAGCTCCGTAAGTTGATCACTCAAGGGAGTGGATTACACTGGTCAACATATATAGATGTTAGTTATACCTAAATCTGGATCTATAAGGTTTACCTGACGAGGGTTTAAACATTAAAAACTAAGAGAGATGGTCAGGGTGTAGATGGGGCCAAATTCGAAGGTTTTAATGTATGTATACATTTACCCTAAATGCTAAAGCAGAAGAAGCATTAAACTTAGCACGTTGTTCATCTGTTGAAATGATACGTCCTTTCAGTGTTTATAGTTTTAGTGGGATATAATGTTGTTGATGCAAATCACGTATTATGACGAACCTCTAGATTGAACCACTCAGATAGCCGCTGAACTTTCGCGGGACCGTTTCCGCAAGCATTTGTCACGAACGCCACAGGCACACGGAGTTCTTTGCCTTCTGGGTCACAAAGTAGCTTGAATGCTTCCTGGGCATTTGGGAATGGATTGGCCCCGCGTCCCAACACACCATCGATATCAAACAGGAGGCCGAAAGCGGGCTGGAGAAAATGAAGTATGCGAAAGAAAAACATATAGATAGTGTCGTCTTCCGAAGATTAACCAACTAGGTTAAAGTCCTTGGAATGTCTTATTAGCAGTGTCGGGTTTTACTAGTGTTTAACGGGCGCTCAGACTGCTACAGAATTATGTGACTTGTCTCATCGCCTTCTCAGAAGCAAACATCGGTCATTTCAATCTTAATTTTTTCGTGTGTTAATTTAAATATCATTGACGCAGAGAAACTTTAGTACTAACTCACGGGCATTGCGGAATCAGGCTTAAGACAATCTTACAGGTTGTGTCGGTTGTTTTTGAGCGCATAATAGCTGAAATAGGAAAATTCTGGCATCAGTGGAGTGTTGGTGATAAGGGCGTATCGTCCGGCGTTATGCGCACAAGGACAGCCACTGAAACCAGTGAGATCACCTTTGTCCTGATTGGGCAATTGGGAACAATCAGCACAAGGACTCCAACGTATCTAACTGGGTTTGCTTTTCACATACGTGTTGCGTTACGGCTGGCTCAAACAACCAACATGTTAGTATATCGCAATCTACTTTGGTTAAATGGACTCATTGTTTCAAGCTTTTTCGTGCTTGAGCACAGTGGACCTAACTGCGTTGGAGCTTTGAGTTCCTTGAATGTACACACTTACTCGGAGAGTTTCGCATGGCTTCATTTGAAGTAACCGAAACGACCGTTAAAGTCGGAACATTTGTGTTAGACTGAAATATTTACTTTATTTTACTACTTAAATAAGTATGCAGTAGACCGGTGAACACGACAAACTGCTCATGCGTCCCATTTATAATGGCCGTCCTTATTAGCTATATCAAGTAAACAGCTTCGGATAAAAGTCAGGTGTTCAAAAATATGTCTGAAAAACAACTTTAATGGGACCGTGAAACCGGATGCGCTGAGTTCCTTGTTCGAGTAAAAGCGAGTTTAGCATCTTGAAATGTGCTTGGAATCCATTGAGAACGCATGCTTTCAGTAGGACTTGGAACATGCTTACATAAAGTATTCAGCCATTTCTGGACGATTCAAGTTTATTCCGCTGGCCAACTGTTATGCAGGTCAAGGCAATTAAGAGCTTCAGGGTCAAAGATATTTGCCTTCACAATTAACACGATATGCAACTTGTGCATTTCGAAGTGGCATACGGAAGTCATGGTTGTTTGCCAATTCTCCATAAATGAATAGATAAACTATTATTCGCGATGTTGCGAAACACCCCTGTATCAACATCATCCAGTAAGTGCATACTTTTGAAACGTAAATCACAGGGGGACTAGGAAATTTGATCATTAAGTCAGATAAAGATGTTTGGAAGCACAGCGAAGCATCATAAATGGTTAGCCTTATACCAATCTTTCATATAAAGCAGGTAACTCACAGGAGCGAGTATGATGGTGAAACATGTACTGGGTCATATGAGATCTGGACCCAACTCGTACGCTTGGGTTGCTGTTATAGAATAGTTTGGCTGCTTTCTGTACAGAAGAAATTTTTGATACTTTTGCGAAATTCGTGTTCAAGCGTGCAGACACGTATTCCGGGTGAGGTCTTGTCCTAGACTCTGGAATCTGTTAAGGGAAAAGTTATCAAACCTGCTGGCACTGGACCTGCATTGCGTCATTGTGTCTTATTTGTTTCGAGTGTTGCAGACTGTTGGTTGCATTAGTGTCACCTTAAAGTTGAAAACATGTATATTTCTGTGCAAGATTGTAAGAATACGAGTAGTTTGTTCTTCATGCGCCGTAGTCAGTGGGATCGTGGTTAAGCTTAGCAAATCGATCACTATATTCCGGTTTTGGAGAAGTACCAAGGAGACGATTGTAATTGCTCTCTGTATGGGTTCCAATGCCATGCTGCCTCGCTTTTTTGACTTGCTGTACATCAATGGACAATATTACCGCTTGGGTCTGACAACTGATATGTAAGAATGAACTACTGATTCATGTAGGGCAGTGGCCTAGCTACTATTTTGCGGATCGGAGCGGTGGAAAGATTTTCGCAATGACTGAGGGCAGAATACGCGCCTGTAGGCCACATAATCGGTTCAGAATGCAGTTCACAATAGTTTTTAATGAAATGGTTAATGGTTTGGGATATTGAGGTGATGTGTGGAAAGTGAATACAATGGGACAAGTAAGAGATCGCTGGGAATAAAGTGGACACAAAATTACGTTAGACTATTCAACTCTCAGCTTATCCGAACACATTGCCCTTTAAAGCATGGTATCGAAAAATTGTCACGTGCCACCTGGAGCGGATGGCCCCTCCTATGATGCCACGCCACTGATGTACTTGGGAACTCTATCAGACTTGGGGACAAGGAAGTAGTTGGGGCACTGAATACAGACTTTGGCTGTTGTGATGCCGAGCCACTTGTGTCATCTGGAGAAATTGTAAACTATCGGGCACCATATAGCTGGCGTCCGTCTAAACTGTCATTGTTGGGAATGCTTGCGGAAGCATCCCGCATGCCTAAACTGGGGTCGGAGGGGAATACATGGTAAACAGTAGCTGCACAGCTGTGGAGTGATGTATCAGACAGCGTCAGCAAATTGTTCTTATTGTTATCTCGGTTTCAAGCAATTCTGCTCTAAATGGATCGATGAAAAGCAGGAGTATCCTGGAGATAGTGTTTCGTCGAATCTATCCGTTTGGCATTCGTTGTGGTGTTTAAGCGAATGAGTTCTTTATACGACGCCTTGAATAAATTTGAGGATTTTTGTATTGTTGATAGGCACAGGGCATTGTAAATGCGCACTTACCAGCCAATCCTTCTTCTAGTAGAGGGATGTTTATGGATTCTAACCACGAAGCGTTAGGTTTTGGGTGATGGCTGATCATGGCGCTTGTGGTGATTTTTACATTCATTGGCTGTGATTTGAGCATTTCCTACTGTGCTGGTATTAACAACACTCGATGTTGCTACTCCGACGTTCACACAGCCGAGATCCACTCCAACGCAGTTGATCTCTGTATTGAGTGTGACTGCTGCCTGTGTCATCGTATAAGGTACCTAGTCGCATGCATACTCTACGTTCGGTGTTCGTGGCACAGTCACAAGAAATGGGCTTTGTAGAAAGCTTCTATCAGGCAAAAATACGTTCTTAAACTGTGATTAGTGTAATGGCTAGCCGACAGCGTATCAATCTGGCGGTAGATTATTCGCTTTAAAATGTGAGACCCGGCTCGCTGAGCAACATAAGTTGCATAAAGCTGGTTCCGGTTATACGCTCTACTGGGTGGGAAACCCCCTCAGCGCCACGTGAATATGGGTCGGATTTGCACTATCCGGTTGTCTAAATCAGGCATTCTCAACCTTCATTCGGTCATGCCCCCTTTTGAACCTATCAATTTCTCTTGGCCCCCACCCTTGATCACCACAATTTTAGCAATCCACAACACCGAACGGAAGAAACCTATGCTTTCCAGTGGTCATTTTAGCATCTTTCGCTATGATGGCTAAAGGTTTAATGTTGGTATCACAGCACTTTCGCTTACGGACCACTTTTTTAACTTTCACAACCTCAAGTTGATATTCATTGAGAGTCAACAGCAAGCCGCTTATCTATAATTATGCAAAAGTCATCACGATATTAAAATTGTGTTCATATATTGTTGGCTTTTAGCCCTAAGGCATGTCATCTACTTGGAGGTGTAGTGCATTTGTAACAATATGTTTGCCGAGAGATTACTACGTGTCATGAGCGTGATGTCATTCAGCAACTTTTGTTATCTCCCGCTCCATACTTGACAGCGCGAGTCGAAGCTCTCTTGCTATGATGTCCAATATGTTTCTAGATTTTACTAGAAAAAGCACACTGCCGAATTCACCTGCAACCAAGTATGTAGATGGAAATACATTGCAGCTATGTCCTACAGTCTAGGATATCTGTTAGGGGCATCAGTGTTTGTTCAAATATACCTTTTATATTACTTGAATTTGTATCTTGTTGGTGTGTTAATTGGAAGCTCTAAGATACTTTACTGAATTTGACTCCATCATAGCAGGATTGTACATCAAATGGATCTAAATTCCAAATCGGGATTTCCATTTATAGTCAGCTCATGGAACCTGTCTCTCATTTCATTTCCGAGTGGCTGCAAATGACTAGGATAAACAATCAAGTCTTCTTCCTTCAGCTCCTCCGTAACTGCAGCGAGAATTGGGAATTGTGAAAATGACCTACGTTTGGAGCGATAACGGTTTCTTTGCTCGAAATGAGATTACTCAACTTGCTTTGAATGATTTTCGTTAATAAGTTGTTCTTCACAAACCTCAGCCAGATAAAACTTGTCTGGCATAGATGCTAACAGTTTTCTATCATGATCAGTTCCGTAAAGGAATGCGATGATAGTGCTCCCGGAGTGCAACGTAACGGCGAAGGCATTTAGTTGCCCCTGAAGAGTCATCTAACTTTCGCAATCAACAGCAGAGCTTGGAAATCATCACTATTCTCCTCACACAACAGCTGGAACAGACGATCCTGAAGGGGGTGAGCTTTGCTGTTGTAGACTACTATTATAACAGTTGACAGTGAATCGTTTAGGCGCCTCCCAAGTTCTTAGCCAGTAGATGGTCTAGATGAATCATACAGTGAATTGTATGAACAGAACGGAGAACTTTTTGAATTGACAATACATACTTTATATCTTCTGACCATTGCAGCAGCACTATCTGTTGCTCATCCAACTAGCTCTGCGTTAGAATGGAGTCTAATGTCAGATAGTCTGAAATATAGACTGGCAGTTCGTAGGAGTTTTAATTCTCCTGGCAAACAGCATCTCCTCTACTAATTCAATGTCATTGAAGAATTGGAAGTGTACCGCAGGAAGAGCGTCTTTGTTAAGTAAAGTAGCTTTATCTAATTGTCTAAAAAATTTTATGGACTGTAGTAAAGTAACTAAGGTACTTTCTATGTCCTGCGCCATCTCAACTATTCCACTCGCATGGACGCAATTCTTTGCTCCTGTCTGCGACGCG